CGCTGTGCGCCTTTGCTATGGGGTTTACGGCTGCTTTGCCGCCTCATGGGGGCCTGTGGTCTAGCTCTGATGGGCTTCGGCTGCGAAAGCAAAGCGGTTGTCAGGAAAGAACTTTGACTCATAAACACTGAGAATGCAAAGAAACCGCAACATCCGGCGAATTCAGGGATTGATTTCGCCGATCCCCCTGCTCTCCCAAGCCGAGATCTAAGGTGCTGCATGCAGGCACAGCCTATTTCCAATGTTCGCACGAGCGCCCAATTAAAAATGCAGGTTTGGGAAACCTCTACAGCCTATGCACCTACACCCAACACTCTAGAATCGAACCATGAGGTCGCGCAATCATGCACTATGCGAGCTGAAATAACTTCTTACTAGACAGTTTTGGGTCTACCCCGACCTTTCAATTGCAGTACCCGGCTTGAAACGCAGCGCTCACGTGTATGGACAGGTGGCGAACTTCCCCAGGCAGGGATGTTCTAACCAAGAGTTGCACTTGAACCCTAAACCCGAAATCTTACAAACCCTAAACCCTAGTCAGAACAATCCTCTTTTGCCGCGCCCACGCTCAGATCTGTGCTTTGTGATGCCATTCAGGGCCTCGCGTCTTGTGTAGCGCGGAACATTGCAGAATGGAAGACGTTCCCCAAAACCCTATGGGCTTTAGGGTCTTAAGGCGTGCCAAACGACAACGATTTTTGTGGGGGCGCGCGTCGGCCTGCAGGCTTACCCACCCCAAAGGCCACCCCACTTACAAGTCTCAGGGCACACGGCTGTATATGTTTTTCGCACAAGTAAGGCGAGAATACATGCACGACTGAAGGAGTGTGTTTTCGGCGCCGGATCTTCGCAATGTTGTTACTGAAGTTTAAACCGTGAAGATTTCATTGTGGCGAAGCCCGGCCAGGCCGGCTCGTATTTCGCTGCCGCACGGGCGGGACCTGTGTTCTGCCGGTTGGAGGCCATGCCAGGAAGGGCAGACCCCAAGCACAGCCGCGGCCCAGCGTCCCGTACCCGGGAAAGGGTTGCGGCAGAGCTGTCACACGGACGGCCAGCCCAATCAGGTAGCAGGGCCTGTGGCAGCGGGCCCTGTAGCAGGCAGAGCCCTATGGCAGGGGCGGCCAGCCTGCAGCCGCGGAACTCTGGAATTTGGCAGCCTGAACCCTAGACCCTGCCGGGAGATGGCAAAGTTTTTGGGGTTGTTTTTCTTGGGCTGCCTCGGCCTAAGCGTGCCTGGAGCGGTAGGCAAGCCTCGAGGCCGGCTCGGTCGCCCGCCTGGGGCTCCCTCGCAGGGTCTCGCTGATCGCTCGACCAGCGCCCGCCTACCCCAAAGAGACGAGAGCGGGATGGCGGGCGGGTTCAGGGCTTTAGGGTTTAGGGCTTTATAAAGTTTTAGGGTTTAGGGTTGTAAGGTTTAGGGATTTAGGGTTTAGGGTTTCTGGAGCAAAGCACCCCAAAACCGTGCCGGAACCTGGAGGCTTTCTCTGACCGAAACTTTGGAAGGTCTGCCGGTCCGAGTGCTTTGGGATGTTCGCAAGTGGCACGATCTTGCATTGGGAAACCTCGAATGCAAGAGTGCTACGACACTGGGTTCCCCTGCAAACAGTTGACGGAAGCAATATCATCAACACGGCGGGTAAGGGGAGGAAGAGTGCTAGAATAGCGAGAATCGTCGTCATAGGCTTTTGATGATCCCGACGATGATAGCAGGAGCATGAATGTCAACAACACCCGGTCTAAGAAACGACCGGTCTAAGAAATTACGCACTGACAACTTGAGTTTGAGCAGACGTAGCAGCGATTTGCCACCGTACACGTAGTCGATGACCGAGGCAAAGGCAATGACGACAACAGTGGTCAGAAAGCATTAGTCTTAGCAGGGACAATCAATACTGTGCCGACATACATAGATCAGACACTAACAGTAAGCCAGCACTGCGCATGGGAACAATCCGAACCATCACTATCGCTACTATTCTCTTCTTTACTACCGTGGTGAACATCACCGTCATGATCATTACCAGCATCACCAGCAGCACACCTTTTCGTACCGATGCCTGCCAAGACATACTTGAGCAGAGTTTTGCAATTGACTTGCTGCTCTAAGAAGACTGGAAACCTGTGCAGCCTGGCTCGGCGTGGCGGTAGTGCCAGCGTCACGTGTCACGGATGCGACACTTTCCTTGGTCTCTTGAGGCTCGATTCGTGGGCCTTATTGGAGCTAAAAACGACGCAGAAGACTGCGAGCACTACTAAGACAGGACTTCCTGTACATTGTTGCTGCAGATGCTTTTGGAAGCCGCCTTTTGGATCTAGGCGCTGGGGTGGCATCTACGGTGGATTGAATCATTTACGATCCTTTTTTCAGCCTGCTTACATGGGAATCTTTGACGAAGTAGCATTGTCTCCGACAAGACACGAAGTCGAATCTATATCTACAGCTACAATCTTCTAGGACAGTGGGCCCACGACATCATCTACATTGGTCTAGGTCATTCATCTTGACTGTGCTAGGGTGGTACACTGCTAAAGCAAGCCCCAAAAAGCAAGCCCTCCAAATCCACCACCGCTCCATGCAGCGGCCTCAAATTCGGTTCGAGGCACTTCTGCTTGTGGATCAGGAGAACCTGTCGCACATGCAGAAATTTCAACTTCAATTCGGCGGCTGTATGGTTCTGGACGTATCTGGCCCCCAATTCCTCGAAGTCTCGTGCTTTGGCGGCACTGAGAAAGGTAGCAGCGGCAGCAGCAAGTAGAAGAAGCAGAAGTTGTAGCACTCGTGCTAGCACTACTGCAGCGGCAGCAACAGACGCAGCTGGCAGTAGTAGTATGAGCAGCAGCAGCAGCAGCAGCAGCAGCAGAAGCAGCAGAAGCAGCGGCGGCGGAGTGGCAATAGCAGCGGCTGCAGCAGCAGCCACAGCTTGGAGGTGGCAGATCAGGAGCAGGAGTTGGGATAGCAGGCAGTAGTAGCAGCCGCGCGATCGCTCATGATGACGGTGTCGGTAGTGGCCATCGCAGTGACAGTAGCATTCTTTGTCGCGTGGTAGTATGGTAGTCATCGCAGCGGCAGAAGTAGCGTTGTTGGTTGTGCTTGCTAATCCATGCAGAACGTTATTAGTACCCAAATAATTACCAATGCTATTGATAGAAAAGCTTCAGAAGCCGCCTGGAAAAGGACCTCGGCCAACATCGCGTTTGACCTCATCATGCTGCGAGCCTTGTCCTGACAGTTGTCAAACACAGGTCTTGATCTGTACACTAAGTCACTAAGTCGCTGGGTTAACTCCTTCATGTCTGCATTCATTCGTCTTGCATGCATCCACAAAGTTTTTCCAAGAAGATTACTACCAAATACTACTACCACTACTACTCCTCCTCCTGCTGCTGCTGCAGCTGCTGCTGCTACTGCTGGCTACGAGTACTGCTGCTGCTGCTGCTGCTGCTGCTACTGGCTACGAGTACTTCGAACTGCTCCCACTGCAGGTGCCAGCGCTGGCGCTGCTACTGCCACTGCTGCTGCTATGCAGCTGCCGCAATCACGCCACTATGACCAATGAATGATCAAACTTCATGCAGCTGCAGGCCCTCAGAATACGGCGATTCTGGGGTTGAGAACCGGGTGTCCTGCTGCACTTCGATCAGCTCACAATTGTCATCGGCGAGCATGCCTGCCCAAAACAATTCGACTCTAGGGTTTTGGGCATGTTTTGGGCTATGACATCCTACACAGGGACCACAAGGGGCTAGCGTTACTTATTTGCCCGACCCCTGTCATATGAACCTGTGTTTTACTGTCATATACAGGACTCTTTAAAGGTAGTCGTGGTGATGACGACACTGAGCACATACCCATAAGACAGTGTCAGCACTGATGTGGCTTTGTGGACTGAGAACTACAAGGCTTGAGAGTGTCAGTTTAGGATGAGCGGTTCAAGTTTCAGGAACATTCCACCTGGGTACGACTGTGGTAGGCAGGTAGATGTGGCTCCGAGGTTTCTGAAAGCTCACTGCTGCCACCACATGCTGGCTGAAACAATTCGCTGAAGTGCCATGACCTGATTTATGCAGTCAGCTTGACTTGCGGCAAATTTTAAGAGTGGCCACCGTCGGTGCCCGTCACAGCCGATCATAGGCTTCACGCAGGCTTTACTCGCCGATGCCCCAGGCTCTAAGCCAAACAATCGAAAGGAACGACCACGATTCCACGACCGGAACACTGCTTCTGAACAGCTTTGAAAGCCTGCACACGTTTGGCATCAAGTGCCCACGAATGATTTGGAGTCCCGACCGTTTCTTTTCAATCCCGGCGGCGTGTATCGGCTCGGCACAAAACCTAACAAGCCCAACAGAATCGTCGACATCAGCATCGTCAATGACATTTGGAAGACTTAGTTCTGTCAACTCCGCCGTGCCTACACGGGCTAGGCAGAAGCAGCAGCAGCAGTTACTTAAGCTTGGCTCTTCGTACAGCTAATGCTGCAAATGACACTATCATTGCAGCGCCCGTGCTTGCTGTAATTGACACTCTGTACCATGATTTGGGCCCAAAGCCCCAAACCCCAAGCCCTGAGCCGTGCATTCACCTGTCCGCCCTCGAGCCTAAGCAAGCGCTCTCCAGGCGCCCCTCGGTGCCCGCCACCTGGCAGTACATCACTTTGGGTGGTGGGGCCTTTCAGGTGACGTCAAACCACTGGTCTCCCTGCTCTCCGACACCTCGCTCCAGGAGGCTGACCACCGCCAATCTTTCGAGCCCAAAAGATTTGGCACTGAAACTTAAAGTACCAAGGAGCTTGACAGCTCCAACCGAAAACGCTAAATCGATGTCAGTGCTTGTTGTTTACCGTGGCAATAGTAGGCTTCAGGATCATGATACCGTTTGGATTATCCGCATCGCTGCTGCGACGCAAGATCTTCGGGACGACGAAGGTAGTTTGCAAGCTTCTTCCTATCTTCGCGGTCCCGAACTTTGCCTCGCCCCAGGCTTAGGTTCGCGGCGCTGCCTCCCCAAGAAAGTCCAAGACGTTGTCGTAGCATAGCATTGTCTCCAGCTCTGCATCCACCTCCCCAGCGGTGCTTTGGGCTCTTGGGGTATCGAACCGGGCATGGGATCTGGGACTCACAAGCTTCAGAGTTCCGCAGTGCCGAAGTGCCGGGACACGTTCGTTGATTAGACGGGGGTCCACATAGCTTCGGGGGCGAAGCACTACAGCCCCGAAGCTAACGGTCCTCACAATGCCAGGAAATCGTGAGCATCATCCCAACCCGCTGGCACAACGCATCCGACATTCGAGCACTCTAACCGCTAACCTGTCAGAAGCCCTTGTATCGGGACATAGATGGGCAGCTAAGGCTTAAGGCCCATGAACATCCCTTTGCAGCTGCTCTTGTATTTCATGGGGCCTACACTGCACAAGGGGGGTCCCTTGCGATGCGGTAGAAGTCTGGAGCAGATCCCAACAAGCATCGCACAAGGCAATGCCACCCACTTTGCCGAATAAACAGTCGTAGAAGTAGTATTGGGAGTGACGAAGGCGACGACCACGTAACAGCAACAATCAGTAGTATTGCGATCCGAACTCCATCAACCCCAAAGTGTAAAACCCTGATCCTTGCAGAACCCTAAACTGTAAACCGTAAACTCAGAATCCCAACACGAAACTCCGAAACCCTAAACTCTGAACCCCAAACCTCAGGGCCCCGGCCAGGTCACAAAGACCCTGCAGGACAAAGCGGTCGGCGAGTTTGCGGACCCGGAAGGCGTATGCAGTGTCGCCGTCGCACGTGAAACCGCCCGTCATGACGTAGATCCTTGAGGTTGCGGACGGTTGCGGATGTAGGGCTTGAGATGGCTTAAGGCAATCAGGCCTGTGGGGCTTTGAATATCGGATACTGATCTCAGCCTCACGAGATGCCATCATCATGGTGGTGGTGGTGGTAGTAGTAGTAGTAGCAGCAGTGGTGGGTAGTGGTAGTGGTAGTGGTAGTTGCAGTGGCAGTGGTAGTAGTGGTGGTAGTTGCAGTGGTAGTGGTGGTGGTGGTGGTGGTAGTGGTAGTGGTTAGTGGTAGTGGTAGCAGTAGCAGGAGTCGGAGTAGGAGTCGGTGTAGGAGTACTAGTAGTAGTCGTCGTCGTCGTGGTCGTCGTCGTCGTAGCCGTAGAATCGAAATAGTTGCAGTTGTTGAAGTGGTAGTTGGTGGTGGTGGTGGTGGTGGTGGTAGTAGTAGTAGTAGCAGCAGCAGCAGCAGCAGCAGCATGTGCAGTACTGTTAGTAAAAGACCAAAAGAAGCCATCGACCAGATGCAAACAAGGAACAGGACGCCATTCAAGCTCGAGGGGTCCACCTGTTGGATGCGAAATTTGCGGCGTGCAGTCTGCAAGATTCGCAGGCCTTCAATCTCGATTGGCACCGCCGAAAAAACACGAAGACAGACGGCCAGCCAGCCACCAGCCAGAGAGATAGAGCGAGAGACGGAGAGACAGAGACACAGAGACACAGGAGACGGGCAGACGGGCAGACAGACAGACAGACGGACAGACAGACAGACAGACAGACAGACGGACAGACAAACAGGCGACGGCATTTTTCAGGATTCTCTCGATTCCCCAAGCCTGCGGATCCGTGGTGAGGTCGACCTGGTTCGTCTGGCCCTCTTTGTAGGTGTCGGTCCCCAGCATGTTTCGGAAGTACTCGCTGCGTGCCACCAGCATGCGTTTGTCCACATAGAGCTTCTTCTCTTCTGGGAGGTGGAATGTGACCGTTTCCAACTCCTCGGCTGTCAACGCAACGATAAGGGTTTGGGGTTCAGGATTCTGAGTCTGAGCTTCGCATGCAACCTCGGTTTCCGTTCGCCCTCTTCGCTTCAGGGAAGGCGAGAAACCCCCGTCCCATGTTCAACCTGATGCTTGGATATTGGTATCAGATATGATGCTTGAGAATGATGCCAGCGTGGTCTGCATTCGCGGGATAAGAACCTTCCATAACTGTTCTTGTAACTTCCATCGCCATTTCTGCTTCTTATGATGTCGCTCTCATCAAAGTTGATTGATATGCCGTTCCGTGATTACGATCATCGTGAGGGCGGCTTTTGGCGCTTGCAGAAAGACTATTGTTGTCATTGCGAGGGTGACGAAGATTTTACTGTGACGAACCAATCCTCCTTCTTTGGCATCTTTCCTGAAAGCAAAGCGTCCTGTGACAGGTCCAGGCCCTTTGTCGTCTGGACAATCTTGTCATCGTCCACAGGCAGCAGAGCGCGAATGCGCAAGTGGAACTGCCCTTTCTCATCCAACCAGCACTTGTCTCTGGTGAGGTCCGCCGTTCGTACGAGGTCCACATAGTGGGGGTCCTTACTATCACGGGCATCCTGAAACAACATACAGAGAGTGTGTTCGCAAAGGCAACAAGCGGCCAACGAAAGGGGCTTCACCTTCAGCCGCCTTACCCTGAAACTATAGGACGAGGGTCGTCGGAGGTTTGAAAATGCTCCGTGGCAGACCAAAACAGGCCTCTGCCCGGCTCGGTGATCTTTGGAAAATTGTACATGCAGATCTCCCATTCAACCTCAGCGGTGGTGAAGTCTCCGGCAGTCACTGCCTTTCCACCCACGCAGAATACCCGAAAGGAAGAATAACCGATAACTTGGCCAGTACATGACACAGTAATCGGCCGGAGAGTATTGGTGCTCTTGTTTGCTTTCGACTCTTTAGAAGTGTACTTGTGCGCTTTTGAAGGAACTTATCTATGTCACCGATCGCGTAAGCATGGATAGCAGATAGAGAGGCAGATGAACGCATGGGTTGATAAACCACAAAAAGCGGATATCTCGTTTAACGTAGTAGCGCAAGAGTGTATCCGTATATGACTATGTATAGACAAAAATTTAAAAAGGAAACGTATGTGCATACACAGATGTCTAGGACTTTAGGCTTTGGGCTTTTCAGCTTTGACGGAGAAGCCTCCTCAACGATCCAGTAGCTCTTTGGCGCCTTCATGTATTCCGGAGGATGCACCTTCGGGTCTCGCATACTACAGCATATTGTGGCATATTCTAGAATACTATAGTACATGGGACTATGCTATACCACCTGGTGGTATATTGTAGTATTCTATAGTATATCTTAGTATATTCCAGTATATTATAATGAGCTATAGTATATCATGCTTGATTCTAGCGGGTCTCGATTCACTTCGACTTGGACGCGCGTTCGCGGGCAAAGCTTGGAGGTTGCTTCAGCGGCCTACGAGTCCAATATTTCCCTGTGTGGCTCTCACTATCGATACTCTACTCGATTATACTATAGGATACTACTCTAATAAAGTAGTAGCATACACAATCAGCATATCAGGAGAGTGTGACATAGTATAGTAAGGTGAGGGATGGTATAGGATGGTATGGGAGCGTATGGTATGGTAGGTCATATCCTCCATCCCTAAAGGCCGAAGCGGCTTGAAAGCGCTTGGGGTATGAAGTGATGAATTTCTGGGTGACCTCCCTATCGTCCCTCAAAACTTCAATCCTCAACAAAAAGTTGCCAGCACTATCGTCATCGTCACTACCCCACCACCCACCCCAATACCATGTCTCCACTTCAAACCCTCAGACTCTACGTAGCTTCAGACTCCAGACCAGGAAACGGCCCGAAGCTGGAGTTAAACGCAAGCTTTCTCTACCCCACAGCCCGCCATTTCGGGGTTTTACCCTGGTGTTCATCTATAGTCTATAACCATATCGTGTCATAACTTTCCTAGAACATCAATTCATATACCATACTCACTATACTTTGTTCTACATTTTGGTGTACTATACCCTGAAAACCCTGACCTCCACCCGCACGGTGAGGTGGCTGCACTCCTGGCAGAGAAGGGGTCATTTCGGAAGCACCCGGCGTTTATGTGACCCTGTCACACTACCTACAACTCCCCACTCAGGAGGGTTGTGGACTTGAAGGCTTCTTCGCTTCGAGAACTTTGGACCCGAAACCTCGATAAACCTCGGCCCCTGGATCCGGAAATAGACACATTCTGGACCCCGAAGCCCGATTCCCCCGAAAGCGCTCTCACTTCTCCCACTCCCTTTGGGGCCAGACTTTGGGGCTTCTCGCATCACCTGTCCTTGGGCATGATGAAACACTTGAGCCGGAACGAGTCCGACCCCCCAGCATCGCGAGTGAAAAAGCCTGAGTAGTCGCGTCTGCAGCTAGACTTGCTGTCAGGCTAACTCTGAGCGCACGACTTATATAACATACCGCAAGATAGTATACTATAGTACGATTAAAGAAACCAGAATATAACAGATTCCAGGCTACCGCTATAAGATCGCGAGGGAACTCTTCTGCTGCTGCTGCTGCTGCTGCTGCTGCTGCTACCGCTGCCACTACTGCTACCGCTACTGCTCCCACCGCTCTTTCTCCTGCTCCTGCTGCTGCTTTTGCTGCTACTGCTGCTGCTTCTGCTACTACCACTACCACTACCACTACCACTGCCACTGCCACTGCCACTGCCACTACTACTACCACTACTACTACTACTACCACCACAACAACAACAACAACTACTACTACTACTACTACTGCTACTACTACTACTACTACTATAGATACTGATACTGATACTGATACTGATACTACTACTACTACTACGACGACGACGACGACTGCGAATACATTTACACTGCCATCACCTCAGTGACTATTGAGCATCTTCACACTATCATCCTCCCTCATCATCAGCTGGGGCTATCTTCTACTTCAGCGGCTTCTTCTGGGTCATTATATCTCAGCGCCAGCAACGTCAGTAACAGTGCCATAGAACCGTTTTATGAGAACACCTGTCACGCTGCTTAAAGAGTCGAGCGACCCTCGTTCTGCTTGTACTTGTCCTGCAGTGAACAGATGAGCATCAACTTCTACTTGCTGGATGGCGGGAACCCTGGCTGAAGCTGCTGAATCTGCGGAACCAGCTTCACCAGCTACTGTATCATCACGACTTGGAGGACTATATTCGTCTGCAAATCTGTGTGCGTCACTCCCTGAGCGCTGTTCGACTTGGTGGCATGTCAGCGCTCCTTGCGTGATACAATGTCAATCACCTGCCACACCCGGGGTAGATAGGCCGGGAATCCTCGGCTGAGGCTTCTCAAGGCTTCGAAGTGACACCGTCGGATTTTAGGTGTATAGCCGCTGACTGAGCATTCGCAGCAAATTTAAAACTCCCGAAATCGACCTGGTCTCGGTACTCCACCTCAGGCACCGGTGCCTTCACCAGAGGAAAGGTAGTAGGCGCCGGCTCCTGCGTGCTGGAAAATGCCACAGGCTAGTGCTCTGGGCTTGCATCCGCATCTTCTGAGGCATGGAGAACGGAGGATCGGTGTCCTGAGGAGGGTCCGTCGGCGTCGAGGAAGATGACACCAGGGATGGCATTGATGGCATTAAGGTCCACGGCATGGCGAAGACTCACTTCACGCGCTGTGCAGCGAGTCCCGTGGCAATCTTGCTAGCTGGCTCTAACAAGCCAGGTGAGTACACATGAGAGTCATGCCTCCTGAGGTCCTGTGCTTTGGAATATATACCTCATTGCTTTCGGTATCCTGGTCCTGACTCACAATCAGGTAAATGTTCAACTAAACTTTTGATACTGGTACCTACCCTGGCAAATAATGTCTACTGTTGCTGCGCCGAACACTATTTGCAAGGCAGTTGCATGTTTCTCTACTTCGAGATGCAGCTGGCGGGGTAGTCGCGGCCGATGTGCACACATATCATCGGTCCGACGCAAAGTCGCCAAACTGTGATTCAAACGATGATGAACCCAAAACCCGTCCGCGGATCCTACTTTGGTGTGCCTTCGCCAGAATCCTGATCCCAGGGCATGTGCAGCGGTAACTGTAGCACTTGTTCAGGATTTCCCTTGTCGGTCTAAACGCCTGCATGCGTTAGAAACGTGAAGCATTAGGCTTCTTCGGGAGAGCTTGGTGTTGGAATGGAATGATCTAAGCACACATGATGCCACATGCTGCTTCCATATGATCCAATCAAATTACATGCACTTGGACGACGTTGGCCTCACCTGTGGAGAATGCCCTGTGGCCGTGTCAACTACAATGAACAAACATTACTTTAGGGTTTATGTCTTCGCGGTGGCCTTCGCCGCGAAGCCAAAACGTTCGCAGCTGACCCACAGCTCATCACAGTCTGATGGGTGGACTTGGACTCGAACCACCTCCCGGAGGACTAGGAACTCTTCAAGAGCCGATTCCATCGAAACAGTAGACACAGTTCCAGTGCAGTACATAGTCGTGGTCGTCGTCATCGTCGTCGTGGCTGTTGCGAAGGTAGTCGTAGTAGTAGTAGTAGTAGTAGTAGTAGTAGTGGTGCCACCACCAGCAACAATGGCTGAACAGCAACAGCAACAACACTCCACCAACCAATTTCGTCTGGATCGCCTTGCAGGGCTTCATCGTCATCATCGTCTTCAATAGTATAGGTATTATGATTTTCAGCATCATCACCATCATCGCCAGTGTGGATGAGCATCAGCGCCACCATCAGCCAACTCAGTATGCCTCGCCGTATCGCTGCGGCATCGACATGTGCTCGTGAATGCCGTCATCTTTCTCTTCAACCTTCACCATGGTCATCAACATGCGCATCATGGCCGCCATGACAATCACGCGAAGGTGTTGCAAGGTCCTGATGGTGATGATGGTGACGATGATCACTGCTCATCATGATTGTCGTCGCCATCTCCATTGCTATTGCCGCCTTCATCATCGCAGCGTCGTGGCACTTTTCGCACTCCTGCTCCTCCTCCTCGTACCCTGATTCCTGCTCTTGCTCCTCCTTCTCCTCTTCGAACTCATCGTCGTCGCCATCGTCGACACCGGTATCATTTTCTGATACTCATCAACCATTGAGAATCATAACAACCATAACATAACCTTGTCTGCTAAGCCGCCATCGCGACGCTCCAGGGGCTTAGGCAGAGTTGTTTCAAGGTGCTCCTGTCATTGCAGGCAGCCCGATGCAAATCCCAAGCACTTATCGCCAGCCTCGTTGCATTTGGGAGGACAGTGCGGGCGAACGTACCTCGAGAGTGAAGGGCTTCAGGCTGAGGCCTTTGATACACAGTGTAAAAGAATACAACATACTGCAACCTGTCTTGCAAATTGCAATTTAGCAGAATCAAATATAGCAGAATAACAGAATGGAATAGAATATGATGGAATAGAACAATAGAGCGTAATGCAATATAATACTCTTTTGCAAAATACGATTAACATAACGTGATATACTATACCATGCTACACACTACCATACCATACCATAATAGTTATAGTATGTAATACAATATACGATCATTTCATATATAGTATAATATACTATGTACACATATAAAATATGTAAGATAGCATGATCCGATGTGGTACGACATAACATCACACAACATATCTCATATCTAATCACACGAAACAAAACCTGTCATGTAATACACAATGTAACCTGTAATCTGATGTAAAGACAACAAAAAGAAAAGGCCTGATGTATGAAGCCATATAGCACGACATACATAACCGAGCATAACATACTACACAATATAGTGCTATGTATTGTAATCTTATGCAATAAGCTGTTGGCATAACGCATAATGCCACATAACATTTAAGCCATAGCAAATAAAATGCAGCATAGAAAATGTAATAAATGATGTATACTATGACCTAACCTATACAACAAGTTTTGCATAGTCGACAATACAGAACAAAACGTAAGATGTAGTGAATATATACTATGATAGATCAAAGTATAGTGCAATATACGAGTCAGATGCGACAAGATACAGTAACATAAACTAACAATGTTAACATTATAACATATAACATACGGAACAAAACATAACCTAATATTATAACATAATATAATATAGAATAGAATATAATATCATATAATATAATATCATATCATATAATATCATATAATATAACATAACAATATATCATAATAATATAACATAACAATATAACATGATAATATAACATAATATAATATAATATAACAATATATATATATACACATAATACAGCACAACATAAACATTAAAACAACCACAAACATCATATAATATCACGCACTATGACAGCTGGGTGTCTGAAATATCGGCTGAGCACCGAATTCCCGCTTCTTGCCGCTTTTCGTTAGAGCCAGTGGGAACAATCTCTCTGAAGCCCTAAACCCTAAATGCGATCTCATAGCAGGCAAGCAAAGAACCAGGTCGTAATAGAAGCCATCATCACCAGCCGTGGCCTGAGCACTACCCCTTGCCACCACACCTGCCAGCATACTGTTTCATAGTTCATTGTCCTATGTGATAGCGAACTTTTTGTATGTTGTATCGGTGTTGTTTGTGTTTGTGGTTGTCTTGAACTCGATGTAATTAACTAGCTATGCCTGACTTCGTACAAGCCACGGTAGCACCACGTGAGCCCTTGCAACACCCGCCCTTGGAGCGTAAGCCTTAAAAGAAAGAACCCCTCTAGTAACCCCGCAAAACCTTGAACGTCCTCCGTAGATCCTCTGAGCTCCACCAATGTGCCCTGCTCCGGGGTCCTTGTAGCTCTAGGCGCAATATGCCCCAAAACCCTCTTCTACTTCGCGCCCTAACATTCATACCCTGCACAGTCCCATGTCTGTCCCTGTAGAGTCCCTGGTAGGAATCGTTAAGGGTGCCCAGGAAAACGATTTAGGGTTTAGGATTTGGGGCTTCGGGTTTAGAGACTCTAATTCCTCAGGCCCCTACTCCCGAAGCTCTGAGCGCCGGTGCAGCATCCAGTCGGGCTTGCAGGCGAAACAGCTCCTTCAATCCAGGTGGAAGTCGGGGCTTGGGCGGCTTAGGTTTTCGGGTTTTAGGTCTTAGATTGGTAGGGCTTAGGGTCTACTGTTTTTGGGGGGGTTGCGCAAGCCTCCTAGTTCAAGACTAGAATCCAGAGTTAACTCTGCGAAGTTACAGGATGTACTTGTAGTAGGCTTTCTGGCCCTGAGTGTGAGAACGACATGTAATGCTGGACGTACCGGCCTAGCCCGGGAAACATGCAGGGGGAAACTTCAGCGGAAGGCCCACATCCAATGGCAGGCCAGGGCAAGGAGAGGGCGTTCATCGAGAAGAGCTGTGGCATGTCGACCAAGTTGTTTCAATCACCAGCACACCCAGAAACCCAAACCCTAACCAAGCCACAACAAACCACAGCTGTCGAGATACATGTCCCTAGTCCACTCCTAAAGTCCTAAACCTTATGTCCCGAACATCTCCCAAAAAACTAATCCTCCTTTGCCCAAAACAAACCTCCCAATGAGGAAATTCCGGATAAAAGTGCTATCCGGGCTTTACGGCCTTCCGCTAGAAACTCAGGGGGGTTTCAGTCAGAAACTACAGGACCCTCTGAACTGAATGCTGGGATCCCTAACATAACGGCCCCGAAACAAAGTACCATAATCTAGAGCAACTCCCTTTGAGACCTTTCCGACATCTTATCGAGCACGAAAAACCCTAGAACACCGTGATGTCCTTATGGCACTGTAACCCTTGTCTTCAAGACAACTCTTTTGCTAGCACCGAAAGCCCAGGCTTTCAAGCCGAGCCGCATCCCTGCCGCGTAGGTCAACAGCGCTGACCAGCAGCCCGCGTGAAGCTGAAGCGCTTTAGGCTTTAGGTTCGCTATGAAAGACTTAAGGACTCATGAATAGTACAAAAAAAAAGACCTCAAATCACATACTTCTGATAGTAATCATAAGAAAGGGCTTATGGAATACCAGGATTTTTGGTAGTGGCTTGGCAGAGCATTTTGGGACTTGGAGCTGAGAAACTGCGGCTTCAGGTCTTTAAGAAGCTCGTGTCCTCTGTCTTTTAGGTTTGGGTTTGGGCCTTTAGGCAGCTTAGGATCCGGAGCTTTCGCTCTGGATCTGGCTCTGGCGCTCAGGATTTTTCCGCAAAGGCTTGAACGTGTGATGTCTGTCGGTTCGGAGAGTTCGGATGCGTTGTCCAGACTTTAAGCTTCAATGATTTTTCTGCTTATACTCTCTGCTTACACTCTCTCACTACTGCCACCGATGTTGTGGCACCCATGCTTCTCTTGATCTTCTTCTTTTGCATTTGCTAGTCTGGTAATAGAAATGGGTGGATTGGCCCGGCTCTTCAGTTGCAATGTTGAACTAGCCTAAAGGACCGACTTCTGATTTGTGCCAAACACTATTCGTCGCATGGCCGGCGCATGCCGCATGGCAAGGGCAGCCAGCAAAATCGGGATCCCCTTCGAGGCCTGTGGTGCTGACAAACCTTCGTTGGATTGTCTGTAACCCAAAAGTTCGGCCCTGCAGTGGATCTCAGTCGATGTACGAAAAAATGGCTTGGGATGCAATGGGACGGGTGACCATGATAAAGTCTCCGCGCCTAGATCCCAACAACGCTCGAAAGTAATCTCTTGTCTACTGCTCCCAAACTTCATGCTAGCTACACCTCCATCTTGGAAATCATCCACAATGCAGGTGCCTCCGGCTGTAGCCTGAAGTCAGACAATGCTTTTCGAAAGGGCTTCATGAGTTACAAGCGAGAGCCCCCCAACACTCACAACGTCACGTTCCAGGGAATGTGCTTTGGCAAGGACCTACACATGTCGACGGCTCCTTGCAAAGGACCAGCCAGAGCAAGCCAAAATAGGTCGGTACAGCTGAAACAACTTTATCACAGGGAAGAGAAGCTGAAGGAGAAAGACAAGCCTTGGACGCTTACTGCAAAAAGGCAGCTCCTCGACCCCAAACCGAATGTCGTCTCCTACCACCCCAATCAAATCCATCAAGTCCTGAGCCCAACACCTTCGTGCAGCTGGGGAGCACAGGAGCAAACCCCTCGACAGCCGCAGCATATTGCTCCTGGAACCCTAAACCCTAAACCCCTCCAGGGATCTTGATATTTGGGACATCATGGCGGGTCGACCCTTTCTGTCTGAGGCTCTGTCTTCCTGTTTCTGTCTGAGGCCGAAAGATTCTAGGAACCCTGCTGCTAGAATAGATTCACAGTTGACAGCAGTTAAGTACTAGTTTACCAGTAGCAGCATTGGCAGCGGGACCCGAATCTATAAACTCGCAATTCCCAGCCCCGGTCCGCACACCCTAAGCCCCTGCGCGACCTCGAAATCTGAAAGTCAACGTCTGATCTATCAATCGAAAATCTAGACGTTCTAGCTTGTCACGCTCGGGTCCTTCTCAAGGTCTGGCGCCTCCTTGTACTCGTTGGTCTCCATAACCTGCATAACCTTGGCATCAAAGTGGCAAGAAGAGCGCGTAACCAACAGAAGCACAGTACTTGTAGATTTGCGGCTTGAAGCACCTGCCATGTGTGGAAGACAAACGAACGAATGCTAATCCAACAAGCTTCTCGGGTGTTACCTTAAGATACTGGCCTTCCTCACAGAGCTCTAGAGGGCTATGCTGCGCCTGGCTTCACCAGCCACGTCGGGCTTCAGACCAGAAGCTCTTTAGCTAGGAAAATAAGGTTCATGCGATCTGATAGCTGTTGCTCCTTTTGGAAGAGTACAGAATGTGAGTGTGAGCAACACTAGTCACCAGACCGAATCAAAATGCAGGGGGTACCGAAAGTAACAGCCATGCGCGCGCTGTCCTTGTTGGGCTGCTTGTGCATGTGAGTGGAAGGCGCGAAACCCACTACTCTCAGGATTGGGTATTCAAGAATATGCAAAGCTCGCCATCTTCCATCAAGAAGGACGAAGGGAGGCAGACTGTCAGGAAAAACGGATGGTGCCTGTTTGTACGGCTTGGTTTGGGTTGTACTTTTGCTAGTTTCCAGGCAAACCGCAATTCGAAAAATCATTTTGGCTGGGTGTTGAACCAGTGGACTGCCGGGGATAATATGCGTATCAAGGGTTTAGGGTTTAGGGTTTAACTTTATCCCTAAACCCTCAGCCCTAGCATGTGACCTGAGCTCCCTGCAGATTCCCGATGCTGGATCACACGGACCAACTTGGACGGGAAGATGTGGTTTCCTCAGTTGCCGGGTTTCCGGTCGTCATGGAGTCTCTATCTTCATGCTCTTGGAGGAACTGCCGAAGCGAAGAGATCCATAATTCCATCAAGAACTTCGCTTGTCAAATGCTGGCTATAAATCTTCTCCGAGGGGCTGAAGTAATCGTAATGCATGCCCTGCACAGCCTCGAACCTCGGTTGATGTCGCCACGGGCCGGACCGGGATGAACGTCAGCTTTTCAGTGCACAGGGACAACGAAGACGTCCCAGAACATTGTGGGCCCGGGAGATGAGGAGTTTCAGACTGTTGAGTAGCTCTTCTCAAACACGACCTGACCCCAGTCACCCCAAGTAGAACTCAGCCTCTTCACCATCGTCAAGGCGAGTTGCTTGGCGCTGCAGCACGATGCCTGATGCAGCGAGGCATGCAGTCGCTGGCCCCCATCTGTGCTGTTTCTGGCAAGAGGCATCTCGTTCAGCACTACAGACACAAATGCAGCTACCCGGTGCGCATTCCCTCCATCAGGCTGAACACGGAGAGTTCCCGCTGCTTTCCACTTTCAAGGATTGAAGAGAATAAGTACAAGCCACATCCGCCCAAACTCAGCCGTAATTGCTGAGAACGGCGCAATGATCTATCCAACTCCAAGCTCCTGAATCATCCTGGCCCACCACGCCGGCCCCCTACAAAACCCCAGCATTGAACCTCAACAGGGCGAAATCATGGCGGCAGAAGGTGTGTTTAGAGGTAGAATACGACCGACAGAACCCTTGTCCCAACACTGCCATGCTCTGACTATTACATTATACTATATTATGTTATATTATATTATACTGCATTATCACTGACTGTGTCAGGACCCTGAAGCCTGAAACTCTCAGCCCCCCCCTCAGACCCCAACTTTTGCACCTTCAACAAACCAAGAGCCCTAAGACCTCACCCTGAACCTAAACTTAGCCCCCAAATCCTATGACCCCTAAACCGTAAACCCTAAACCCCTAAAACCCTAAAACCCTACACCCCAAAACCCCTACAACCCCTAAAACCCCTACAACCCTACACCCCTAAACCCTAAATCCCTAGGAGATTGAGAGATGGCATTTGGAGCCTCCGAGTTGTAGGCCGGGCAGAACCTAAGGCCTTGCCATGCGCTCGGAGTTTTTTTCTTGAGAGACTTTTTTTTGGGGGTTTATGGCTTGGGGTTTAGGGGTTTCCTTTGGTAGTTTAGGGTGCTGAGTTTATGTTTTAGTTGGGCTTGTGGAGCAGAAGTTCGAGGGTTTAGGGTGTACAGGTTTTCCAGGCCAGCTGTTTGAGTGGGTGGGGGTGAGCCGGGAAAGCACCGGCGCAGGTGATGTGTCGGGAAATTCTCTTGGAGAGTTCACAGTGCGCTGGACTTGGGATTTACGGACAAACTCGCTAGGGCTTCAGGATCCGACAGTACAGCTCAGACATCCCTCTCCTACAGTCATATTCCTAGCTGATGGTTTCGCACCCAGCTGCAATAATTGTAATCGTTGACACCCCCCCTCCGCCCTCAACGGCCTTTTCATCAGGTTTAAACCGAAGATCCCCCCAGTCCTGGTCTCGTCAAAGGCTTACGAGCTGAAAGGTTCGCTGGATGAAGTCTGGGGCAAGTGCCGTTGTGCACCATCGGATCGCCTTGAGGCCGTGGCTTCAAGGCTGAGGTTCCACTCAAGGTCGCCGTTGTTATAGGGCTTCTAGGGCTTAGGGCCTAAGGAAATATAGTTGGCATTCAGTGTTGAGTGGTCAGGCTTCCCCTGTAGTCGGGGCTTTGAGGGCAGCACCTCCTTACGGAAGGGCGTTGCTTCCATGACCCGGTGTGTATGAGAGAAGGAACTTCACATGCTAATTGAAGCAAGCTGGTCTCAAGCAAAGAAACATCTCTCGGCCGGCCGTGCGACTACCAACATTCCGGAATATGGATCTTTCTCCACTGAACGCCACATGGCCACCATGCCCCTGCATGCTGGCTTTCCAAATTATGTTAAAGCTGACACCCTCGCATTCATCAGCCCAGAAGAAGCAGACCTTGGCTTCTCTCTCGGCCGAGCAGCTGTTCAATGTGGGCAGGCGGCCTGTCGCCTGGACAATGCCAAGGATCAAAGCTCGAGACACGAGATTGAAAGACCGTGTTTTGGGCCATTGAGAAACGAAAGCAAACTCCATGACTGTGGAACATGCTAATGGATCGACATAGTGTGGTTAGCATGATCACACGATCTTCTACTTTCCGGCTTCGGGTGTCCTCGAAAGGTGAGGGTTGAGTCTTATGGTTCAGGCATGTCGAAGCTTAAGCTCCCGTCTTGTGTCTAGAAAGCCGATAGCGAGAGTTAGCAGAAGGCCTGTGATTCCCCCCTTCGGGCCTGACAGCATCAGCTCGGGGGAAATCCAGTGCAAAGATGCTGAACGTACTATGTCCCGGGTACTTCGCAGGTAGAAGCTGGCAGAGGTACCCCACATGTTCCAAACTGCGCCAGATCTCTCCAACTTCACCACCTCCCCCCACAGTCCAGAAGGATGCTCACAACCACTTAGAGCCTGCACCCCTCCCCCAGAACCCTGCAGCCGAGAGGTCCCAGAAGGCTTGGCCGGGCCTCCACCGAAGCAGAGCCAAACTCCCCGAACCAATGCCTTGGGCTTGGGCAGTGAGGGGCAGAATTAGGACCTGATTAGGGTTTAGAGTTGAGGACTCCAGGTACCCGGATGACATCATCAAAAGCACGAGCTCACTCAACTTAAACATGCCCGAAAGGTGCGAATCCATAACCAGCTTGAGCAAGCAAACATGAACTGCATAGTAAGCAGGCACCATGGGCCGCAATCCGACATGCTTTCTCTTGGCGGAAATTAGATTGATGGCATCTGGGCACGGGGGCAGAAGGAATCTAGAATCTATAGGGAGCCAGGAGTGTCTTCAACATGCCACACAGACCCGAACTTAGAAGACCACCACTCCCTGCCGCTGAGGCACGCCTTGAACAAAGGGTTGTGGCACTGGGGATCCAGAGCATGGGCCGCCAGCAACAGCGGGATCACAGCCCGGCGCTGCATAGTAACACCCCCACCCACTTTGGAGTCTTGGGCGTGGATCTGTGCATGCCGCTTTGGGCAGGCTCAGGTATGCGTATGTGAATATTTCCCTTGGTCTGGCCACCTTTCAGGGAGTCTGGAGGGCTACCTGGCTGTAACTGCACCATTTTGAGATGGCAAACTTTATCTGGTTGCTGCTTTCAGGTGAAGTCGAACCATAGGAGGTAAAGTTAAGTGACAGGGACAGGCTCAGGGAGTGAGTCGCGAACGGGCGCTACTGCTTGACTGACGTTCATGCTGATGATGATAAGCCGAAGAAGCTCCAACGCAAGCTCCAGGAAACTTTACAACCTTACACAGCCCAACACGGCTACAAAGCCATGTTTATCTCTGCTTCAAACACGATAGTTCCTAAGCCTAGGACAAGGCATGGCGCACGAAGTGACACAGCCAGCTGCGGCTGTTCGTCATCAGCTGACACGGCCAAGCCCCTGTTTTCAACCACAAGAGAACTGTCACTCATCATGCACGACGAGCGGTCAACGAGCTACCATCCAATGGGTGGCAACATCGTGCAGGCAGCAGGCATCAAGAATTGTAAAATCCTCTGAAGCGTCTTTCTCTACGGATCGAATCGAATGCGGTGAACTGTCTAGAAGAGAAGGAAGGGCATCGTCTAACGGCTCAAGCATGCTGTGGGCGACTTGACATTGGACCATGCTGCCGAAGTCGACTCATGCATTTCGAAGCAACATGGCAAGTCCTTTCATGGTTACATCAAGATTACAGCGACACTGCATCCAGAAATGCTGGTCCTTCACCTGCTCTGCTGCCTTCTGTAGTCTTTTGTGGGCGTGTGTTGGTGGACTATGTCCAGGGCTCCTCGGTGCTTAAGAAGCCAAGGAAGAAAGCACCGGCACTGATGATCGCCTACTACATATCTCCCCTTGGGTAAACTATTCCTACCCTCGTCTCGTCTCGAACGGCTGGCATCCGGTTTTCCTCCTCCCGTCTTAGAGCGCTGCGGGTCAAAGCCTCCGGCCGAGGACTTCGTATCAGGGACTGTAACTCATGAGCAGGCCAAGGGCTGAGACAAACCTTCAACCCGACATCCCGAATCTAGGGATATCATACAAGACCACTCTTCCCAATTCTTCACTCTTGCCTGTTCCACATGGAGCCCTAATCACAGGCCCTCATGGATCTTCAGATGACCGCATCTGCCATCCTCAGAAAGAGGGAGAGCGTTGCAATTGGCTGCGGGCTTGCTGTTGCTGGCCTTCGGGGGTTCCGGATCCTGGTTCCGGTGCTCCAGAAGTTGCAAGGGGTTGTTTGCAGCGTGGCCTGTTCTTCCATTGGTTCTTGCCTCGAAAGCCAAAAGCGGGGATCGAAAGTCGGGCGGCTTCTTGGTGCATTTAGGAATTTAGGACCCCTGCGCAGGAAGAGAGGAACCCAAGAACTCGGAGCTTCGGAGCTCGGCCTGGCTTTTGCTGCTCCGATTCGGGTACCTTGACCAGAAGTTCAGCTCTAGACTCCCAGAATGGAGGAACCTGAAGCCGAGTTAAACTCTAAGAGATTTCTTTCGGGGCCGATCAAGTAGGACTCCACGGGGAACCGTAGGAGACCATAGTTTTTAGAGAACCCTCGAACTGGGCAGGCTGACTTCATGGCCATGCTTAGAACAGCCTGCCTTTTCACCTAAAGCCGTCACTCCTGGGTCAGACCGTCCGCAGGGACTTTCGGTATGAAGTGGCGGTGCATCTTGTCCAGAATTTTTGCTTTGACGTCCCTTCGCTCAGCCCGCAGCGAGGCACTCAGGGAAATGCGGACGACCTTGCCTCAGGCTTGTGGTCCTACAATTACAAGGGTCGAGGGAATTATTGTCAACCGGAAGAATCATGAACAGTTCAGCTTTAAAAAAGGAAAGACTCAGCAGCGCTAAGCCCAAGATCTGAGGCAACTCGCAAAAAATGCTGCTAGTAAACGTGTTCCTTACCGTGGTTGTAGCGACTGCAGCAGCAGTAAGCAGCATTGAGTGGTAATTTTGATGGTTGCCGTAGCTGGGCCGCTCTTGAACAAGCGTGGCAGCAGGCGCAGCCATCGCAGCCGGTAGCTAGCAATTAGTGGAACAGTACTACTGGTCTAACGCTCAGTGTGTCGATCAGGGACAAGCTGACTTCAAGACTGAGCCAAAATCAAACCCTTGACCGCAGTAGCCAAGGCAACTCTAATCTGTACGTCCTGCGCTAGGCTGAGCTCGTAAGCCAGATCGTACTATTGAAAGAACTTGGTGCGTGACCATCCGATCCACCCACCGCCAGCGCATCTTTCGCCAACCACGCCTAAAAGGAACGGCAAGAAACTGTCCCAGAGTCATCACGACATGGCAGGGGCACTTGCGCGCTGATGATGAAGGCAGGGCGAGGTGGGTGGTGCGTGATGTCGATCACGGCAGCAGTACTGGTGGCAACCGAAATGACTGTAAGTCGCAGGTAACCGATCTGCAAGTCCCAAAGCTTCCCGAGTACAACAAAAAGCGTTCTAAGCAGTTACCTTTCGCGAGGACCTCAAGCGCCTGCGCTCAGGATGCACTCTCATTCTTGAATTGCTGCCCTTTCGCAAGAAGCCCCGATACTTCTCCTTATTCCAAGCTTTCCTTCAGTTATGGAATGAAGTTTGATTGACTTCTTGAGCGGCAATTATGGGAGAGCTTGCAACTTCACACCCGGACATAGACCACTTGAACTCAAGCCGAGCACGCAGCCACGCAGAGCAGCTTGTTCGGCGTTGGCACCTGCTTGCCCACCTGAGGCTGCTAGAGTCGAGCAGGTCCCCTCCCTGATGTCCAGAAGCTCACAACTGAGCAAGTAGTCCAGATGGTGAAGAAACGGAAAGGGGCAGTTCAACTGGTCGGGGTATGCCGATCATGACATGCACAATTGAGCTGAGCAGAGGCAGCATTTGGCCTTAAGAGGCGTAGACATCCCAGCTACTTCCTCCTCCTACTGGCACATACTAGATCGCTTAAACCAAGAGTTGCAGCCGTTTGCGAAGGTGGTGACCGCTCGGATCCCTGCCGGAACGGATTGCAACGGCAGCTTCAAAGAACGCGGATCTATGATGCACCTCAGCAGTGAACTAGTGACGAGTGAACCATCGAGCTCAAAGGGGCTCAGGAGCTTCAGGGCTACTGTCCACGACGCCTTGCACCGAGCAGGGTAATGACTTCGTCTACAGAGTCATTGAGTCATTGGGCATCACTGTTTGTTGAAGACCTCAGAAGTCTATGCCAACCCTAAGTACTTAACCATAGATCGAAACCCCCTCTGCCTAAACATCTTGACCCTTGTCCCCAAGCCCGAAGCCCTGAACCTCGGAGCTTCGCCAACAGCAACAGATCTCCCAAACCGAAGCGAAATGGAGCTTGCAGGGCGACAGCATCTAAGATGGGTGCTACAGATCCTAGCCCCTCACCTAAATGCGTTACGCCAGCTTGACAAGTTGCCTGCTTCGAGTCCGAAGGTCAGAGCTCGAAACTGACTTCGGGGGCGGTGTTAATTACAAAAATTGTCCTTTAGGACTTTAGGGTAATTATGGGGCATTGGGTTCCGGGTATCGGGTTTAGATTTAGATCCGTGCAGCACGTTTTTTGCGATGCAAAGCCTCTCCCACACTGCAACTGGTCTGCTTATGGTCAGTCCGAACAGGATGCGAAGTGAGCGTCAAGGACTATGCAATCCCACATAGGATACTGCGCTGGGTCTTTTCTACTTCACGTACTGGATTAGTTGACATATGCCCCGCAGACAAGATCCAGAGAAGTGGTCAAAACCAACAACTACGCTCCTTCCTGCTTGCCACAACGGACAGTGACTTGAACAGCTTTATCTGGGCTTGTCCTTCTAGACTCAAGGCGCAGCAGAAGCTGCCGACCTACATTACCGGGAAGGGGGGTTGCTCTGACGAGTACCGTTTGAAACAAGCCGCTGCAGGATTGTCAAGGTTAGGGTCTGCTGAAAATGACCATCTACCCTGGGCAAAATCCGATGTCCTCCCGGCATTGGCATGGGGTTCTCCAGCATACAATACAGCATACAGCCCGGTGGGGTCCACTGGGTGTGAGATAGAATTCCTCGCGGAGATTCCGATAGAGCTCCTTTGCTATACTGAGGACCCCCAACAAGGATCCCAGGTGAATCGTGGCATCCTGCGCGGAGAAGCGGCCATTGCCCCACGAGACTCTTGTCTGCCCCATCACTCGGAAAAGGTCGTCTTCCGGGGCTTATCATGCCCTTGTCCTGGCGGTAGTTACAGACTGATCATGAAAGCATTTCTTGAGACTCTTTCGGGAGGTCCGGATCTGGATCGATGGCCGAATTTTGACACGCGGGGCAGTGGAAGGACTTGAGCAGCTCCGGGCGAAGCGCCATCTGCTGACTTTCACAACTTCCGTTGCAACCACTTGCTAAAGGCGCTCGGAAGATTGGCTGCTGCAAGTCCTGCCTGTCTAGCCGCTCTACCTTCTGTGTATCTATGTCTCAAGGCTTGCTTCTGTGCTGGCCGATGCAAGGTGCATCGTTAGCAGTACAAGTAGCAGAAGCAGGCAGTAGCTGCAGCCGTAGCAGTAGCTGCTTAGCAGCGGCAGCAACAGACGCAGCAGCAGCAGGAGAAGGAGGAGGAGTAGTGAGTCGGAGTAGGAGTAGTACAGTAGTAGTCGTGGTGGTGGTGGTGGTGGTGGTAGTAGTAGTAGTAGTAGAAGTAATCCCTTCCCCCTAATATTAA